GTTGGCTGGGATTGCATGTGGTCCGCCAAGAAGCCTTTCCGATTCGTCCAGGGATCCCACCTGAGCATTGAAGTCCCCGGAGACTACTACGATGTCCGTTAAATAAGCACTTTGGAGTAGTTGAGAGAGATTCTGGTAGAATTCATCCTTGATTTCAGGTATATTGGTATACGACGAACAAGCATCGACGCTTCATTCTGTAGCTGTTGACTCGAACTGAACCGTTGAGACGTACAGCGCACAATCGGCTACTGACCGGAATCCAGTCAAGAAGCGAGCGCTCAGCCTTGGCACTTAGCGCAATCCCGACACCAGCAACACCGCGAGCTTCGGATGCCGAATCGCTTGACACACGAAGAGTGAAGCGTGAGGTTGAGGTTGGTTCAGGAGAACGCAGGGGGATAATGGAAGTGGGGTCTTGTATGCGTGTTTCGGAGACACAACATACATCTACATTGAAGGTTTCGAGAGTTTTAGCCAGGGCAGCTTGTTGGCCAATCTGATAGAGCTTGCGGACACTGAACGCGGCTAAGTGTAAAAGGGATTTTGGTTTTAAAAATTCTATAGCTTCTGGATCTCTGGCCTTGATGGTAAAACACTGAGTGATATTCGATGAGTGGCGTAAACAGGAGGCATCTGGGATTAATCGAGGTTCAGAAGAAGAACTAGTTAGAAGGGAAGGATCGTTTTTCAAATGGGTGCCCAAGACTTTAGGGCACGGCATACTTCGTGGTAGCCCACACCGACGAAGGGGTTTTCCTTTGGGAACCCTAAACGGAGCCTTTGATTCAAGAGTCTGACCCGCAAGGCAGCGGGAATTTGTGGGTTTTTCTTTGGGAACCCTAACCGGAGCCTTTGATTGGGAGTCTGGCCCAAGAGGCAGTGGGGCGTAAATCCAACGCCAGAGCGTGAACAAAGCACCCGTGTGGGAGCTTCTGAAGACCTGTCACGTAAGGCCTTTGAATTTCGGTTCAGTTTGTTGTTCGCTGGTGCATTGATTATCGGTCCGCTTTCCGGGATCAGCCCTGAGCCTCATGCATCCAATGAGACAAGCGGAACGTGGACGGGACAGCACCTTATTGGCTGGGGGCTGCCCAGCTTGGGCGAGCGGTAGCTGTCCAATGAAGTGCGAAGACTTCTCCCACCGTTGAGGGGAAGCCCCAGGTACCCCGCTCCTACTTCTATCTAGCGGGGGGTTTTCGACCGGTACATTGCCCCTCACCGTGTTTATTTGCTGGAGTGGCCTCTCCAGGGACGGGTGTGGATAGAGGAAGGAAGCCAGGAGGTGCCCAAGCAGCTGGCCTTGTGAGATTGGTCTTCGTCTGGCCTCTACCCGTTGACCTTTCAGGCATGATTGGATCTACGGCTGTGAGAAGCCATCCTGTGTAGCTCGCAGGGTCACTGAGGCGCGCAAGCCATCACACCACGTCAGTCGTGATGNTATCGTCCACCCCAACGTTACAACACTTACTTACCTTAAGTTACTAAGGCTGGATCCTTGGAAAAGACCAGCCAGCTCCAGGTATGATTATCATCATGAAGTTCCTTGGGAGTCTGGCACGAGAGACATCCCCAGCGTCATTCGTCGTTTTTGTATTTTGAGGGCGCACCTTTAGCCTTTGCATCACCAAGTGTGAACTACAAGACAACAGGAAGTAAACCCTCACCCAAGAAAGCAGGGGGTTAATGACTTTAGTTTTAAAAGGCCAGTCACATCAATCTTTGTCACGACACGCTCATTGGGCTTATGTGGCTTTCAAACAGGAGCCAGGTGATCAGCTTGAAACCCACCACACCCTGGTAGTGCCGCCGTTGTTTGTTCGTGACTGCTTATTTATTGTGTTCTACCACAACTTAATCACAATTAACCTTCTTCGGTGAAGGTATCCCCCTATCCACAATCCGGGGACGCGCCTGGTAGCATTCAGCTCTGCCTAACCCGAGTGTATCCAGGTTTAGCTCGTACGCTGGAGACCCTAGCCATCGATGTGTTGTATCCGAAAGACTCGCGTTCAAGACTCCAGCTCCATTATCCGATTGACGTCTCTATCAAACCCATCAGTGAAGTTTCATTTACGCCTCTCTGGGGGCCCTGAGGATGGGGCTTCCGGTCTTGCTGGCGTTGGTGTGGGTCTCAATGAGAGAGCTGAAGCTGCGCTCCTGGACTAGTTCCCGGTCGACAGTAGTTGGTGCGCAGTGAGACTTGGAGGTTCGTGCAAAGTAAACAGCCATCGCACAGATAAACGAAACTTGTTTGTCATGTTGGCGTACGCCCCAATGGACTGCAGTCCAGATGCAGTCAAAGACGAATTTCATCATAATTTACAAGACCTCTTGCGTAAAGCGAGTCTGGCGTCCGCCCTCTTCGGGTGAGCGACGGACGCAGATCAACCACATCGCTATGAGCTACAAATGGCGGGGTTGTATACAAGACTGCCGATCGTACTGGAGCATTCTCCTCGAATCCGACCACGCGATAGTTTGCGCCAAGCTGTCCATGTGCTTCGGTGAGCGTTCCAAACGCATGACACATCGATGGTTAGACTGATAAGTTGTCTCGACTGTCTTTCAGAACGCGCTAGCTGAAAGAGCTAGAATCGACCCTACTCGATGACGTTAACCAGCACTGGTCGCTTATCAAGAATGCTCTGCATTCTGCTGGCTTAGTTCGTTGTGGTCTGACACGTCGTGCCGCGATACCCTGGATTTCTTCGGAATCTCTACGCCTTCTCGACGCACGCCGATCAATCTCGACCGACAGCAAGCATAATGAAATACGAAGAGCAACGAATCGTAATCTGAACGTAAGCTTACGCAGAGACCGCGAGATCTGGTGGACTTGAAGCGCGTTAGAGATGGAACATGCTGCCGCCATGGGAAATTTCCGTTAGCTGTTCCATCTCATCCGGGCCACCGATAGGAAAGCTTAGGTATGGGCGAAACGATCTACGAAGCTGACGGTTTGCCTATTTACAATCAACAGCCACGTCTTGCACGTTGGGTGGAGCACTTCAAAGCACAATTTAGCTGGCCACTAGCATCAGCTCCTCACACAGCTATTCCGGCACACGTCCCATGGTCTGTTACAACAGACCCACCTTCTGAGGCGGAAATCCATAAGGAGACCCAAGCCTTGGGACGTCACAAAGCGCCGGGCTCCGATGGCCTTCCTCTTGCTCTATTTAAAGATGGTGGGATAGTGCTTGTTAGAGAACTACAAGCTCTGTTCACTAAAGTGTGGAACACTGAGCAAATCATATCCTCGTGGGGGAATCGATTGTTGTCCCTATCTTCAAAAAGGGCCCGCGCAATGACTGCGTCAGTTATAGCAGCATAAGCCTACTCTTGATAGCGTCAAAGCTGTTGGCGTCCGTCATTCTCCGCTGACTGTACACTAAGCGTGAGGAGCAGACTTTCGATATATCCGATGCATTGCTCGTGTCTGGTGGGAACACCAGGAGAGTATTGACGAGATCCGTCGTTGTGTGTTGGCTGTGGACAGTCGATTCCTAACAGATGTGATCGCTCTGCACCGCTTCCGATGGCTTGGTCACATTTTGCGTATGCCTACCTATCGACTACATTCCTGTGCTCTCTTTGCACGTGCCGAGTAAAGCTGGAATAAGTGGCGCGGCGGTCAGACCATGACAAGGCGTACAGGTATGAAGAAGCTAGCTTCAGCTTTGGCTTCGGTTGGTACAACCCGCCTTCCAGATTGAGGCCCAAGGGATGAGGATTGTCGTTGGTTAGAGACGCTGAGAGTTATGGCCCAGAATAGGAGTCAGTGACGCGAATGCTGTACGGTCTGTCTGTCGAAATTCCAAGCCCCGTGAAAACAACAAACGACAAAACAATTTCAAAAAGTGTACGGTGAAACACAAAAAATTGTTATTCCATTCATTCATAATCTTCTATTCTAACAGTTATGTCTCTTTACCTCTACTGTGTATCACAAACTCCCTCC